GTCCTTGTGGAGAAAGGCAAATCACTCTTGATAGGGTGGACTAGAGTAGTTGAGTTCAATGAACCAGGATAAAAATCTTTGAGTTTTTATTGCCATAATAGTTTCTCTATACTTATTCAACCCCCCCCCCCCCCCCCTTCTAAGTATTTTCTCACCTTCAAACCCTCTCTATGAGTAGAATGCTGTCAGTGCTCAAGGTGAAGACCATGAAGATTTTGTTGAGCCTGAGGTTGTCTGTGAACAATTTCAGATTATAGATAAGAGACTCAAAGTCGTTGAGGGTGTTGATTTCTTCAATGTGGATGCAAACAACATGTGCTTAGTTTCTGACCTTGTTATGCCTGCTAAGTTCAAAACTATTGAGTTTGTAAAGTACAAGGGTCACTCTTGCCCAAGGGATCATCTAGTCATGTACTTCTGAAGTATGACAACTTATACCAACAATCAGAAGTTGCTCATCCACTATTTTCAGGATAGTTTGAGTGGCGCCTCACTTAAGTGGTATATGAACTTAGAACATAACAGTGTCCACTGCTTCCAAGATCTCGCCAATGCTTTTATGAAGTAATATAAGTACAATATTGACATGGCTTCTGATTGCCGCCAGCTCCAAAATATGTCTCAGAATGAGAGAGAGTCATTCAAGGAATATGCTCAGCGGCGAAGAGAGTTAGCTTCCCAAGTTGAACCCCTTCTAGCGGAGAACGAGCTAACTAGAATGTTCATGGACACTCTACCCCCTTTCTATTGGGAGAAGATGATTGGGATTGTCTCTTCAAGCTTTGCAAATTTGGTGACTATTGGCCAAAGGTTAGAAGAATGACATCTCCTCTTTTTATTATCCCTAACTTTTGCATGAATTGTTTCTTGCGAAGATTACAGTCAGCGGGATGCCCCAGTTTCGCCTAAGTCTCCTTCATAGGTTTTGACTTAGTGGGCTTTTTTCTTTTGATTTTTTTTTAAAGAGAGTGACTGCCTGGCTTTAATGATTATAGTGAACCATCATCAACTTTTAACTTGGAAAACATCTTCAACACTTGCTTGTTGTGTGAAGGGGAAATTATGGTTCAACCTTTATATGAGAGGTGTCTTGCATGAACACACAGTCAAGTTAACTGAGAACTATCCTACCCCAGGTTAAGATCGTGGATTATTTGTAAAAAGAAAACTCCTACTTCTAAGCTCAAAGGGATTGACAAGGGAATAACTTCCTTATTTCTCCAGTGTTTGAGGGATTGAAACAATGCCTTACATCGTCAGCAAAGTTTGATTGAAAGCGTATCAACAACAGTTTGGGTACAATATTTTCTTCATCCTCCCTCAAATATTTGCATAATCAAAAGTTTGGACAAGAAGTAACGATTTAAAAAATAAAGCATAAAAGTGCAAATAATAGACAAAATGAATTGAAATCAAAAGTTGCAGTGCTTATTTCATTAATACGGAAGTACAAACACTAATTAAAAGCAAACAACTTAAATAAAATGAAGGAAAGTATAAACAATGAGAAACAAAAGGCCTAGTGACTAATCAGTAACAAAGATGAGATGTCATGTCTAAAACACTGGCTTTTAGAAAGATAGTTTGCTGAAGTCGACTGAAGCTTCACTTTTGATGCACTAGCAAGGGATTGTTCTGGACATTCTGATGGATATCCTTAAAATCAAGGATTCCAGTTTTAATCAACTCACGCACTCTGGCTTTCAATGCATAACAATTCTCAAAGTCGTGGCCTGGGGCGCCCTCATGAAATGCACAGTAGAGATCAGATCTAAACCCAGCTGAAAAAGGATTAGGAGGAGGTTGCAAAGTCTTTGTAGTGATCAACCCTTGTTGGACCAGGTCAGGATAAAGTTTCTGTATATGTCATGGGAGTAGGATCAAATTGATTCCTATTTCGATACTGGTTATGTCCAACAGATGGATGTTGAGGAACTTGTGTTGGTCGTAGAGCAGCAAAAACATGAGTAATGACAACAATAGCAAGGCGATTATATCGAGGTTGGGGATGTTGAGTAATCCTTAAGTTAGACCGCATTGGTCCTTGCCCAGCTGTGGGGTAGGTGTCAGTCCAGTCCAGAACATGGTTCAACATACATAATAGTATATGATTTGTGTTAGGGATAATATTATCATTTGTAATTTATTTTGACTTTATTATAGATTCAGAATTTATTCATTTTTATATGGCATTTTCATCTTATTTGATAAGTGTATGGTTTAATTTATATAAAACTTATTATTATAGTATAGTTATAATATATGGTCTATTACATCAGTGTATCTCTAAAAAGAATCAAAATTTACTGTCTAAGGCGAATACAAAAGTACATATTTGTATTCTGTGTAGGATGAATACAGAGTTGCATCTCCAGATGAGTTTATGCCAAAATGAGAGTGTCTCAGTTGACAATACAAGAGGTGTATATAGAGAGAATACGAAAGTGTACCTCCGAAGCATTTTTAGACAAAAAAGAAAGGTGAGATTCATTTAAGAATTAATTTGTTGTGAAATAGGTGCATCCAAAAATATATTTTCAAACTTGTATGTACATTTTTGGACTTTCTTAGGGTGCTTCTCTACCACTTAGGATGGGAGAAGCAATTTCATTGGTTTAAGTCATAGGTAGGCTAAAACCGGCTCGACCTGACCCATGTGCAGACCATCATAACCTCAAATTTAATGGGAAAAAAAACTCGTTATGACAGGGGTTTGAATCTGAGTTTTGGTTTTTTCTAATTTCAAAAGATAGAGATGAAATGAGTATTGGAACACTAACACTCCCACTCCGAGGAGATTTTCTTTAGAACATTTTTGGGTCTTGTAAATTGCTAAAGGCAAAAGTGAAATGATTCACCTATGCATTAAATCAAAATATTCATATAATCGGTTGGAATGTTTCTAATTCACCATCATCTGCGCTTTTGGAAGGGTTTGGTAGAGTAGGAATTGTAGCATGTTGCTGGGAGGATTTAGTTGAAGACTATTACAAGAATTGGATCATTATGACTTCTTTTGACTTCACATATGATACGTTAGTAATAAAATTGATGCTAAATTAAAAGTTATTTAATAATATAGGTGGAGCTGATTATCTTTCTTTGACATAGAGAATATTTATGACTTAAAATGAAAACTTCATATTTTAAAAGCAGAAACTTCATATATTAAAAGCAGAAGCAGAAACAGATACAAAAACTTCATGTTTTCATGAAACTGAATATCTACTATCAGAAACTGAATAAAAATTTTAGGGTAAATTATAAAATGAATTTTAAAAGCATAATTTTTTTCATGAAACTGAATATTGAAAGCATAATAATCTACTTTCAGAAAGTCATTACTACATGAAATACTTTAAATCGATGGAGTTGTTTTCACTACGACTTATGGAACAAAACTTTAGCAACATAATTTATAGTAACCGAATTTTACTCATACTTAATCATTTTGCAATGCATTTTTCATTATGCTTGCAATTATGCTACAACTTTTCAACTAATTCACTTAGAATTTGCATATAAATAAAGTATGCTAGATGAACATTTGATTAAAACCAACTGTTTTGACACAAATATTATCTCTAATGGAACAGTTTTTTCTTTTTACAGTGTCTTTAACTAACTTAAAGAAACATTAGCTAACTAACCATATGTTTATGCTTAATTTCTCATTAAAATATTTAAATCATTTTTGAGTTCAGTAATTGGAGAGATTACTATGTTGTTATTATTAACAATTATTTTACATTTAACTCTTCATAGTTTCATAAATTATTCCAACATAAATACTTTTTCAATTAAATTCTCAACTGAAAATCCATTAACCACTGAAATATATTAAAACTATTTGATTTATTTCTTCTACATATAAGAATTTCGAATATCAACTTGGATTATTTACAACTGTCATGCTGATTTGTTAAAATTTGTAACTCATACATTTGAATCCGACATCTTTGATGCTTTACATTCATTTATGTGATCCAAAGTGTTACTGATAAGTGAAACTTAAATAACTAAGAAGAATATACATGTATTATGTATAGATAGTAATTTACATCATAGTTTGTTGTTTTCATTTTCTAAACAGCCATTAGCCTTATGTATGACTAATTGGTGTTGTTGCTTACAATTGACTCATCATACTTTTGCAACGCTTTTGTTATTTTTTTGAAAAATATGTTGAAATTGCACTTCTATTTTGAACATAATTAAGATATTACTCTTATGTTGTCAAGTTATCAATTTATTTTAGTAAAATCCAATGTAATTTAACTGTTGCAACTTTCATTTTGTCTGTATCGATATATTTGATCTCTATTATTACATGATAACTTTACCCGTATCAATATATTTGATCTCTATTATTACATGATAATTTTAAGTGGAACATTTGGTTTGGTTTATGAGGGGAAGAAAGAAATTTTAATAAAGAAAAAAAATATATTAATTTTACATTTTGCACCCGCATAATATTTCAAGTGACATTTAATAAATAGATATTTTATTCTAGCAATTTAAAGTTTAATGAAATCAATTTTATGTGCATGGACAAGGTTTTTGAGGAAGGTTAACATTATCGGAGTGTAGACAACAATAAAATTAAGTTATTTTGCACATCTTTATGTTTATCTCAAGGCGATTAGCAAAACTGGTAGTGCTTATACTCCTCGCAGTACATTCCATCTTATTTCTAGTTGTAAAACTTTTATTACAAAGGATTAGCAAAGTTATATGATCATTAATATAAATAATCTACACTACTTTCTAGATGATTAAAAAAAAAATACACAAGATCTACCATACCCTAATGACAACAATTAACCTGTAAAGTGAACACTTAAGAAAGGCAGCATTGATTCGTTGAACAGGAATTGAGAAGATCAATTATCACAAGGGTAACTCTGGAGTGGAGCAAAATCAGGAAATTCTTGGACCTGCACATACCAATCTGCGCTTCACAGACTGACACAGTAGTTGATGTTTCCAACCCCGCATCACTGGTTTATGATAGGGGGCTTTGAGAATATTGGGGAAAACAGCTTCTCCAACTCAAGTAAACTGAACCCAAATCAATATGAAGAAAACTTAAATATGTACGCTAATGAACTTCTAGTACACCTAAGGTGCAGCACATAAATAATATGTGAATTCACTTACATCTCATATTTTTGATAGGCTTCATTTCTTTTGGCCAAGTACAAATCACTATCTTTGGGAAGATTGTTTACAGAACTATCTGAAAATTTACAAGAACAGAACCTACAATTATGAAATACTATTAACAGCAGTAACCTAAACCTATAATTATAAAGTACTGATAAAAGCGTTAACTTAACTCCAATGCGCTTGTGTGACTCAAAACACACAATTTCTTTGAAAAGCAAGCATTTATAGAACTAGAGATATGCGGCTTAAAACATGGTAGAATGACCCAAATTGAACTCGGAATATAGAAAAGAATAAATTAAAATAGCTAAGAAATTTCCTGAGCTAAAACAATTGAATAGTTTATTGCTTCTTTTCTATTAGTAGGAAGAAAATATAAGTAAATACAATTTACAAGAGCTTTCTAGAGCTTCACATTTGAGTACTGCAAATAATGCCAGTTGTTAGAGCACTATAATAGAAATAACAATTACTAATGCTTTTGATAATACAAATATTCCTGGGAAAGTGAAGTTGGGAATATGTGATATTCTAAATTTCACTTTCAATGCATGTTTAGTGCACTATAATAGAAATAACAATTACCAATGATTTTGATAACACCGACACGTTTAGTGCAAGTTTAAAAGAAAAAATTAGGTGAAGTTTATTTCTAAGGAAGTGGCATTATCATGTTTTGCTGCACTTTTACTCCCACGATGAGAGGTGCGCACATTGCTATTCCAAAGTATGTAAATGGTAGTAGCTATCTTGTAACTCAATCATCAACTTCTACATACACTACTTTCAATCACATTCTTTCTCTCTTTTAAATTTCAAACAACATTTCCCAAACATTATTAAATGCTAGCCAAACATTCTCCTATTTCACTCGGGAATGGCCTCCATAATCATAGTATTCATGGGAATGCCATAAACTTAGGAATATGCCATTTATTTCATCAACACAGATAATAGAGGAGTAATTTTTGTTCAGCTTGTTTGGAGATAGACTAAATGTAAGAGTAGTTTGAAAGAACAATTTCTGGATATAAAAATTGTACAAGAGAAATGATTTATAAATACATAGACATGTGCTGAGATAACTACTTGTCTAGAATAGAGCCATATTTCAAGCAGCAAATCTGTCGGAATAACAGGAACTAAAGATACAAAAGAGCATAACTAAGAGTTTAAAACTAACTCATCCAGATTTTACCTCAGACAAGAATAAACCCAAAACTAAAGATCAGTATCCGGCGGAACTTAACAGATATAAACAGAAGGCTGGAAAGGCCACGGGAGAGTAACTCATCCAGATTTTACCTCAGACAAGAATAAACCCAAAACTAAAGATCAGTATCCGACGGAACTTAACAGATATAAACAGAAGGCTGGAAAGGCCACGGGAGAGTAACAAAAGTATATAAATTGTACTACAGAAACAAAAATAGACTGACCGGTACACATGCAAATTTTGAATTTCAAAAAGTTCAAATAATTAAATTTTTATCCCATTATCTTCCGTTTCCATTTCCAATAAAATAGTTCCCAATAATGTCCTCCCACATAGTAGCTAATTCGCAGAAATATGCAACTTTGGAGAAGTGAAAGTGAAACAAACATTCTTCTGTATAGTAACTAAAGAAAATTTATAAGGTAAGATGGATAAAGCATACTTGGAAATGGGGCTGGTTGTTTCATCGCCACATCTTTCTGAACCTTTAATGACATGTCTTTGCCAGGCTGTTCTACTAAACCCTGTATAGGTAAAGGAGTACCAATATTGTAAATACATATGATGCAATGTAAAGAACACAGGTTTTTATGCATAATTTAACCTATTCAAATTGTCCTTCATGTTGTATGTGTGTGTATTTGCTCTGGACCTGGGTCCTGTTTGAATAAACAACTTAATTAAGCCCTTATTATATACTCTCTCCGAAATTATTTATAAACATATATAGCTAAATTATCTTGAAATGAAGTATAAGCAAAAGTTAAAATTTTCAGCCTAATAAATGCTACTATCTCCAAAATACCTCTCATTTAATATTTTCCAATGAATAAAGTTATGAATATCTCGAAGGATAACTTAGGTAATATGAATATATTTTAAATAAAATCATATGATTAATTATCGTAATATATGTGTGATTCAGTTAACTTTTGCTTATGAATCATTCTCGAAAGAGTGAGTGCTAATGTATAAGCTATTTCGATAACAAAGGATAAATTAAGTCAAATTGTTCTTATAAACTATCATGTAGAATTTATGCAAAATAAGCTAACTATCAACTTATTGACACATCGTAAGCCGTTTTCAATTTCATATGCTCTCTCAACAGTCTTGCAAGTGTTAATGTTAGTATATAAGCTTAAATAAGTCAATCTAATCAAACCCCTAAGAGAGAACAAGAAATACTCCCATCATTCTGTTAAATACCAAGGGAGATAGAAGTTGAAGGCACACTCAAATACACATACGGACGATTTTGATGCAGAAAGGAACTAAACTAAACTATTTCAGTTCAAGACCATCACTATCAATTAAAGTTAAGAAACAGAACAAAGGTGAGAAAGGAATTGATACCTTCCCCTTTTGCCTTCTTTTCAATATTTTGAAATGGCATTTTTTAACATAGTGCATCAAATGATATCTCGAATGCCTAGAGCATAACTGTTCTTGAATCTTAGGGTTCTGCTCTAACCAATCAGAAATTTCCTTAGACTTAACCACTTCATCCTTATTTAAAGTTTCTAACCACGAATAAACCGGAAGCCATTGATCAGTGCGTTGAAACCTAGCATGAGGAACATCAAGATTGTTCGCTTCATTTTCCTGCAAAATTTGAAAAATCAAAGTGCTGGAGAGAATGAACAGAACAATCAGAATCGGAATTAGAATGAACTTGAAACCTGATTTGGGAGTCTCATGCAATTTTGAATCGAAATGAGCCTGAGACAGAGATCGGAGCGAGGCATGGATTGGATGCCCTCCGGAAGAGAAGAGAGGTTAGCGTCGATCCAAGCTTCAACCTCCGCCATGCTTACTTCTTTGGCCTCAGGGAAAGAACAAAGCCACGCTTGAGCCATTGTAGCCCATTCTAGCTCTTGTTCTTGTGATGTTGTGTTTGCATCGCCGGAGTTCGACATGTTCGCGTATCGCACCGGCGTTTCTGTTTTACACTCGGGGCGGAGGGTTTTGTTACTGTTCCGAATAAAAGAGACAATAAGTAAAGAGTAAAAATATCCAAATCCTCCTGGTGACACAAAATCTATTAATTATTAATTAGAAATATGTTGGAGTAAGAAAAAAACATCATCTTTAAACTAAAATTTTGTATAACTTACGTTAGTAATAAAGAATTTATATTATAATAGAGCTGACCTGACATTTAAGTAAACTAAAATTTAGTACTCGTTATCTATATAGTTAAGTTAACTATGTGAAATATATTATAATATTATTTATTTAATTAATAAAATATTCCAACAGCATTAAAGTAATTGTATGATATTTGAAAATAGTGGAGTCAAGTTTTGGTTTCTTATAGACAACAATCATTAAAGTAAAAATTACTCAACTATAAATTTTTTAAATCCTACAAAACACTTTGAATCCACAAAAAATATCTTAATTTAGTTTATATATATATATATATATATATATATATATATATATATATATATATATATATATATATATATATATATATATATATATATATATATATATATATATATATATATATATATATATATATATATATATATATATATATATATATATATATATATATATATATATATATATATATCAAATATATTATTATTAAATAAAAAAATTATATTTGAATTCGTGAAACAATTCGGATGAAAAAGATATAATTAGAACATTTGTTATATGTGTAAAGCAAGAATATGTTGGATTTGCAGCTTGCTTACAACCACTCTTTTTCGCACAAAATGAATGTTTAACTCCATGTGCTTTGTAGAATTGAATTATGAGAGAGCATGACAGCATTGAAGTTATCACATAAGAGAGTAAGTGTAAGATAATTAATGTGTAGTTCTGCCAAAACTAACTCAAGTGATATCAATTTAGAAGTTGTATGAGCTAATGCTCGTTATTTTTTTTTTTTCATGTTTTACCTTGTCACAAGACATTGTTTTTTTAAACTTTAGAAAACCAAGTTAAGACCAAAGTAAATACAAGATTATGAAGTTGATCTTCTACTATCATGATCACTAGCCCAATTTAAATCATTATGGGTCTGTAGAGATAATTGATGAAAGGTATTAGAGAATAACTAAGAAGAGTTAGTTACACTAACTATAACTAATTATAGAGATGTAGTTAGATAAGAACAAAGTTAGTTGGGATAAAAATCCATGAATGTTTCACTATATATACCAAACATTTGTTCATGTATTACTCAATCAATGAAATAAAATGCATGAAGATCATGCTTTCTTTCTATGAGTCTTATCGCTTCCATGTGGATTTTACTTTACTTTGAACACCCATCTGCACTCTATAGATTTCCTATTTGGTGGATGTGTGGATACTGTTCAAATGTCATTCTTCAATAGTGATTCATGTTCAGTCTTCATGGCCTCGTACCAATCAAATTGAAAAAGGAAATCTATGGCTTAAAACGGGTTCTAAGGGCCTGGTATGACAAACTACATCAAGCTTTATTTCAGCTTGGCATTGTATCCAGCAAATGTGATCATTCTATTTTTGTTTACAAACACCAAGGGGTCACACTTTATGCATTTTTGTATGTTGATGATATTCTCATAACTTGCATAACCTTTGCATTAATTCATGACCTCATAAGAAAGTTACATGACAAAGTTACATGTTTACTGGAATTAGGAGAGTTAAATGCGAATGAAATTAAATTTAAAGGAAATAAAGGTTATTAGTTTTAGAAATATATTTATAAGGGATATCGGTATGCAATGCCTTAGTTATCGGGGATTCGACAGGTCACCGGTACTTTTTAGTTTTTGCTAATACTTTTCAGGAGAAAATACTCGTTTAAAGACTTTTGCCTCACGCTGGTTGTTGACTCGGGTCGTAATTCTAAGGCGGAATATACGCTCTCGCAGTCTCATTCGGGGTTAAAACTACTTTTTGAAAACAAATAAATTATGATCTCCTTTAAAGCGCTTTCGTTGTGTTTAAAATCAATGCCTAGTTTTTACTATCAGGTTCAAGTCCCGCGCTCTCACGTGCCGGCTCGTACCTTAATAAGCTTCCCACTCTCATGGCAAAACTATTGTGAATAATTTCTCACTCTCTTGACGAAGGTTTATTTAGAAAATTAGATTAAAAACTACGGCCAGAAAAGTGTTTGTAAAAAGGTAAGGTGCACCGGGTATTATCGAATCATGTCCTACTAATTTGCTTACATACCGATAAAACTAATTTAGCTAGACATAATAATTAATGCAAACAGAAATAAAGATAAACAGCAAAATGATATAACATGCATAATGAAGGAAACAAAATAAATATTCAAATAAGAACCCAGAAAGTAGTACTGAAATTGAATTCTTGAGTAGTCCTCCACAATGTCGGCAGGATTCTACTAAAGCGAAATAAAAGTGCATAAAGAAATACGGCGGTACAAATGAAAATAGAAAGGAAAGGAAATGGGAAAGTAATGCAAGAACGTAAATTCGGCTTCGATGGAAATTTCGGCAGCACTTCGATACGTCGAAGCCCCCCCCCCCTAAAGCTGTGAATCTAAGGCTTATTTATAGGAGATATTTAATTTCTCAACTTCCAGAGATCATGCATGGGTTATGGAGGAAGTGTGAGTAACTTCCTGTAGTGGGCAGTTAGTGGAGAAAGTGTAGGAAGAAATCAAGTTGAAGGTGTTTGTGGCCACTTCTGTTTTTACACGTTATCCTGATATTTGATGCATGACGGTCGTGATGAAGCTATGACGAACGTGTTGCACGTGAAGATCGTGAGGGTCTGTGACGATCCTGAAGGCTGTGACGATCGTGAGGAAGCTGTAACGAGCGTCACACGCACAAAAATCTGTTTCTCTGCTACTTTCAGTTTTTCTTCTCTATTTCTTTCTTTCTTCTTTGTTTTCCTTCCATTTCTTCTTCTTTTCTTTCTTTAATCCAAATTCTCTGCAATCTACAAAACATAGTGAATTAACCGTATAGTAGAACATAAATCAAGACAAATTAACAGTAATCGCAAATAAATTCATGTAAATCAAGTTGAATAAACGATATAATTTCGCGTTATCATTTACCAAGCCTCTTCCTTATGCGTTCTTTAGCGAGTTTCAAACCAAACTCAAGGTCATATACTTACACTATATTTGACATTGAGGGGGAGTATTAGAGAATAACTAAAAAGCGTTAGTTATAGTTAGATACATAACTATAATTAACTATAGAAAGGTAGTTAGATGAGAACAAAGTTAGTTTGGACAAGAATCCATGAGTGTTTCATTATATATACTAAGCATTCATTCATGTAATACTCAATCAATGAAATGTAATGCATGGAAATCATGATTTCTCTCTGTGAGTCTTATCACTTCCATGCATGAACTCTCGTTCAATAAAAAGGATTAGATGGTGAAAGGATCAAACCAAGAGGGATTGTCCCACTTAGGTATCTTAGAATTCATTTGACCATACTTCAATGAAAATCGAGAGGATTAAGCACGAATTGACATGCTTTGCTAAAACCAAAAAGCAATGTCATGTCGAGTAAGTATAACATACTGTAATATTTCCCCAATTATGGACCTGTATAGAGTTGGATATGTTAGAGTGCTAATACAATGTTCACTCAGTTTGCACAGGTTGAACACTGATGTACTAACTCCATTGGCATCCACTATAACACCCAAAATTTATTGGAATATTTATTTTATTTATTTAAATATAAATATTCGTATTTTTGGTGATTTGCGGTGGTTGGTATGAAGTATTGAAAATTATGGATTTTGGGTTATTTATTTAAATAATAGTATATAATATGAATATATTGGTATTATTATTAATTTAAATAAATATAAGTGAATTAAGGGCAAAATGGACATTTGAGGAGGAGTTAGTGAGGATGAATTTGGAAAGCCCAATTTTAAGGCCCAGAGTTAGGTTTAACAAAAAGGAATTTTGAGGGAATTAGGATTCATTCCTGTTAGACCGTGAAAAGGGAAGAAATAGAGGTCAAAACTCTGAGGAATAGGATTGAGGCAAAAGCTCTGCGAGGTTTCCAAGAATCAGGAGAAAGACTTAGAATCGACAATTAAGGTATGAGGAGTATTACCTTCATTGTTTTCAATATGTGATTCAATGTGTTTAAAGTCTATTTAAGGGTTTAAGGGTAGAAGGTTTTGTGAGCATTTGTATTGTTGTTGCCTTTTTAAGGTGTAAGAGTCTTAAGAGTTTTGAACGGATGTCCTGATAGATTCGAGGCCGATTTGGGTTTGAGGGAAAGTAGGCCTTCATGGCCAAAATCTGTTGTTGAGGGTTTAACCCTGTAGGGCAATTAGATAGTGAGTACTATAATGACCGTGGTGTAGTTGTAATGAAATTATGAAGAACTGTTGTTATTCCATGAGTAAAACATAGCCTAATTAAGTTTTAGGATGTTATTTTGATATAAAATAGGGTCTAGGGTGATGGGGGTTAGTGGTATAGACTTTGGAGTGATAATCTGGGGTGAAAGTGCTCTTAAAAAAAGTGATTTTTGGGGTTCGAAACAGTGTGAGTCGACCGCTAGAATCCTTGGGTCGACCTGAGGTCACCCGAATGAAAAATTATGGAAATTTTAACAGTATACTTCGACTCATAGCTCTGTGCATCGACTCATAGCTCAGTGCGTCGACCTTTGAGTAGACTCATAGGTAGAAAAATGCCAGAAACGGTTTTGATCATAACTTTTTAACCGTTAATCCAAATGACGAACTGTTTGAAGTGTTGGAAAGCTAATGAGCAGAGCTATAACATAGTATAGATAAGGGAATTGGTTTCCCAATATTTTTATATCTAATTATGTTTGAGAAGTCAATTGTGTATATGTTTTATTAATGAATTATGTTCTAGTTCAGTGATGTTTTGATATTTTGATATTGTGATTTTCCTGATGAATTACCATGAGGGTA